CTTCTTCCGAAGGGTTGCCTCCTCCCTACTCTCTAGCATCTCCTTGACTTTCGTCTTGAACCCCCCGAACCCTTCCGTGTCCAACGTCTCCTCCTCGTCTCCTATCTCCTTCCAAACCTTCTCTACCACCTTGTCCCATCTGATTCCCTTCTTCCCTGGAGTCGCTTTTCCCCAAGCTGCCTCGTCAACCATGGCTGGTAGTCTATCGTCCGACATTCTACTTACCTTGTACTGCCAATTCAACTTCTGCATGTCTCTCTTTGTTTTAAGAGAGTACATTCCCAATTCTGCTCTCAATACAGTGTTGCTCGTTGTACTTGAACATCCTAGTATTTTCTTGGCCGCTGCCATCTGCACCGTTTCCAGCTGCTTGACGGCCTTTTCGTTACCTTCCCATACCTCTCCTGCATACTCTAGCTTAGGTACAATCACATTCAAGAGAATACACCTCTTAATCCTAGTGTCTAGGTGTGGGTCCGTAAGGATCTCGTCCATCTTGCCTATCTGAGCTTTACCCTTCCCAATCACTTTCGCTATGTGTGCGTCCCATGAGCACTCCTTCGAAATCTCTACTCCCAGGTACGTATACTTGTCTACTACCGGTAGTTCTTCCTCCCCCCATTTCCATTTGAATTCTACGGGATTTTTCTTATCTTCGTTACAGACCACTACTGCGCATTTTCCTACGTTCGCCGACAGTCTCCATTTTCGGGTTTATCCTACCGCCGCATCTATTTGTTCTTGCAACCCTTCTGGTGTTTCGGATACCCCCACGAAATCATCTGCAAACATCAGTCCGGACACACTCTTTCCCTCTACTTGGACTCCCTGTCTTACTGCTTCAACCGCCCTTATCAAATCGTTGATGTAAATCTTAAAAAGAGTGGGTGACATCGTACAGCCCTGTGCGACTCCTTGGAGTATATCCACGTACTTCGAAATTTCCCCATCCAACATCACCGCACTTCTTGTGCATTCTGTCATCTTTTTCAACATCCTCCACATTTTCCCCCGGATGCCGATGTCCCACATCTTTTTCCACAATCCATTGCGCCATACGGTGTCGTAGGCTTTTTGTATATCGAGGAAGAAACAGTATGTCGTACGCCCGGCGTCTTTCCTACCTTGGATGATTTTACTCAATGTATATACATGGTCTACACAACTACGATCTGGTCTAAACCCAGCTTGTCCTTCGCTGATCTTTTGTTTCCCCTCCAACATGTCTCCCATTCTATTGTCTATCATCTTGCCAAACAGTTTCCCCACTGTGCTCAACAGGGTTATCCCTCTATAATTCCTCGGGTCAGCTTTATCCCCCTGTTTGAACAGGTTCACGACTACTCCTTCTCTCCATCTCTTCGGCGCGTACTCGTGTTTCCATATCCAGTTGAATATCCGGACCAACATGTTAATCATCCCCTCCCCCCCCTGTTTCAAAAGCTCGTTCACAATTCCATCAGCCCCTGCCGCTTTTCTATTCTTGAGTTTCGCTACGCAGTCCTCTACCTCTTCTCGTGTGAACTCTCCCTGCAACCCGTCTACATCACTACGTTCCCTCTGAGATCTTTCAATGTTTTCCTCTGCCCACGAGTTGATTTCCTTCTCAAACTCCGAGTCGAAGTTGTCGTTGGTGGTGGGTGTCCCAAGTTTGCGGTAGTGCTCTACTAGTACTTCCCTCTTTCCTTTAGAACTGCTTACCATCTTACCCTCGGCAGATCTTAGTGTCGTTATTTCCGTGTCTCCCCCTCTTTTGTTGCCCACTATCCCTTGAATTCCTACCCACATTTGCTTCATCCCCCCCCTCAAAATCTTCGTTAGTCTTTTGGAGGGGGGGGGTGTACTCATAGTCGTGCATGCCGTAATCGTTAGACCATTGACCTCGCATCCCTACAAAGCCGGGACGGAGCACGCCGGGTTCTCACCGGACCAGGCTCTCACATTCACCAAGCGCGAAGCACCGTGAGGTATTCGGCGAGTCGCATGAAGGGTGCGCTGCATCCTGCTAAGGGTGTTCGGCATCTTTGTGCTTACTTCCTTGCGTACGGATGAAAGCCTGCGTATGACTTAATTTATTTTCTGGTGCGTTCACTTCCAGAGACAGTTATTAAGCACTGTGTAGCTGCCTCGAAGGATGCTTGACCATTTTAACACAACGTGGTGGCGATCATCCCCCCTTGCGCGGAAGTGAGGTTTCTCCACCCCGCCACAACATGAATCTACTTCGACCACCATTAATGGTTACCGCCCAAAAAAAAAAACCCGAGGCAAAAAAAAAAAAACGGTTACCTGGTTGCCGAGTTCACGAAGTGAATTGGCTTCTTTTACAACGTCGTTGCCAAGCGACCAAAACCCAATCCCGATGGCAAACACCGAGGGGGGGGGTTCATGTAAACGCACGCTGTAGCCGGTAGACTATAGCCCCCGCATCCCCACAATGCTGGGATGAGGGATATGCCGGGCTTTCAGCGGTGTAGGCTACTACGTTTGGCAAGAGTAGCGGGTCATCATCCTTGCGAATGCTGTGCCAAACAAGGTATGCTATGGGGTTGGTTGGGTTGAGGGAGGTCTCTTCGTTGTCGTTTTCGATCTTGTGCCGTTTACAGACACCCCGTTGAGGGAGAGGTGGGGGGGGTCGCATGTTGATGCAGCTCCTACCAACAGCCATTTGATCACTCATCACGCATCCCGTCAAGATGTGTTCTTCTATTGAAGTACGTGGTAGAAAGGGGGCGAGGGATCGTGTTAATCAAATCGCGTGTTCCTCGCTTGAAGCATCTGTTCATGCGGTATCTACCTAAACAGCGTCAACCCGAACCCTGACCCCTAACCCGGAACAATTCGACAGAGAGAAGGACCTGCTACGAGCGCTCGTGGACACCAGAACCAAAAAAACAAACAAGATTGGAAATATTTTGAGAGAATTTGAGAAAAATGTTACATGCACGCCGCCATCGAAAATCTCTTCCTTGTTCGCCGGCATCCAGGCGGCGGACTTCACGGCACACCTGAAACTTCTTGACCAAGATCTGCTGCGAGCACTCGTAGATGCAGACGAACTTGCTCTGTCCGGCTGCCACCACGCAGGTACCGTCCGCGGTGTAGTCGACGCTCGTAAAGTACTTGCCGTGGTTCGAGTTGGCCGCGGTTACCATGTCGTGGGCGCGTCTTCCTCCTATTTATTGGGAGAGAGAACGCACGGCAAAAAAAAATGTGTGTGTGTCATTAATGTTATGTGTGGCCTGGCACAAACGTCACGTAATACGATACAAGAAAACACGCCCCTGGTGACTCCTAGTAACTGTGTGTGGGGTGTGCTATCTTACGATGCCGTCCTATTACTTGATCTGAAAGTAGTACTGGGCTTTCACGCTGACCAGGAAAAGAAATTACAACCGGGTGTGGTATTTTGTTTGGGCGGGTGACAACTCAAGTGGGTGCGGTCTTGTGTTGTAGAATACGGTACAGCAGTACCAAGGTGTGCTAGGCAGGGGAACAGATCGGGCCACCCTAACGCAAAACACGACGGCGACAAACAAACAAGCCTTTTTCAGAAGATATATGCATACATACAATCACATTCACACAGAAAGACTACCCGTTCGAGATAATACCACAGTACTGCTGTAGCCCAAGGGCACGCGTTGAATGAAGTTATCGCGGTGAGTGCGACAACAGCAACAACGCCACTTACCGGCAATATCGCGACGTCCCTCGATGATTCCCTGCAGGTCGCCTCCATCCGTGCCCCAGAGCTGCAAGGTACCGTTGAGACACGCACAGCATAGCTGCCTACCGTCGGGCCGGAAGGTCACGGCTAACACGTCCGCCGGCATCTCCAGAGTCTGTAAATGTGGAATCCGGGGGGGGGGGGATGACAAGAGGTCACTTCCGCCCATGTCCACAGACTACAATACCGCAAATGTCTACTTGATCGAGGTTGCAGGAGGTAGTGATGAACGGAGGGCGAGATCAACAAAGCATGCGGTGTGCTGCGCTCGAAGAGGTTCAAGCTTAAAAATCAAAACACGAGACAAGAATCAAAACCAGGTTAACCCGCTCGTTACGCATTCCCGGCCCACGGAGAGCGTTGAAAAAGCACCAAACAAAAGTGGGGAGTTCGTCTGTTTACCGGTTGGAATACCACGGAAGAAGATGAGCCACCGGATATATGCATACGTTGGAACGATTTTCGCGGTTTATCCACACGACGACGACAAACACAACAACAACAACAACAGCAACAGTAACAGCAACAGCAGCAGCAGCAGCAGCAGCAGCAACACCAACCAAGGCAACCCATAAATACCTCGATGCACTCGCTCTTGAAGACGTCCCACAGCTTGACGGTTCCATCCCAGCTTGCCGAGGCTAGCACGCCCTGGCTGGGGCTGAAGCACAGCTCCGAGAGGGGCGCCTCGTGGCCCGCCAACACGTCCAGCAGACGCCCGGTCTGTAGCGACCACACGTACACCTGTTGTCCAAGTTTTCGTGTCGGGAAAGGAAAGAGGTTTAAGGAGGTTGGAAGAGGTCAACGAGGTCAACGAGAGGGGAAGGGAGGAGGAGGAGGAGGGGGGGGCACACACGAAGGATGGCGCGGTGTACCGAGGTCGAACGTATAAAACTTGGTAGGTGAACCACGGCGATTTAGGGGGCAGCGGTGTATTGTATGCACGAGAGTTTTCGAAACAATGGGGATGATTTTAGACGCGAAGGGAAAAAAGCATAGACACGCCTAATGTATGTAGTACACGGCACTTTTTGAGAACCGCTTGTATTGACACCGTTCCCTGCTTGTTAGCAACCAGGGCGGTGTACGCCAACACCACCAAGCAGCAACAACAACAGTCAACAAGGGCGACCACAACAATAACGGCAACGACGACGACAACAACAACAACAACAACAACCGGGTCCGACACGCCAAGGACAGGTTGATTCCACAACAATTCTTCATGTCTTCCTCTAAAGCCTACAAGTACAGCGACGACAGCCACGCTGCCGTAAGCGGAGCATGACAAGCAGAGCGACCTCCAGTTTATCCTAGGAGAGCATGCACAATTCTCTATCTGTGCCAGCGTACCTCCGTCTGAGTCTGCCTGCATGCCTGCCTGTCTCTCTCTGTCGATGTCTCCTTGGGTATCCCTCATCGCATTTACGCATGTCCGTTACGGTTCTCCATCTGCCTGGTTGTGTTTCCTTGCATATACCTTCACGCATCTCTACCTCCCCCCCCGCTCCATCGTGAAGTTATCTCACCTCGAAAGGATCCATCGCCCCGGCCACCACCACCTCCCCCGACCCGTCTAGCGCCAACGATGTCAGCTGCGCCGGCTGAGGAGTGACCAACGTCCGGAAGTTCTTGTATCTGGCAGGGGGGGGTTGGGGGGGCGGGGTAGGGGTTGCCGTTTCCCTTGCTTGTTAATTGGACGACCCGTCAGCAATAGCAACGATGACTACTATGAATACTACAACAACAAACCACTTCACCACCACCACCAACAACAACAACAACGACAACAACCACGACAACCACCACCACCACTAACAACAACAACACTACTTATAGTCACAACAACACCACCACCAACATCACAATAGTCGCCCAAACCGCAGTACCCAGTGCCCCACTCACCTCACGAGGTCGTGCGCTCTGACAGTCCCGTCGAGCGAAGCCGACACCACGGCCGAAGCATTCGGCGTGAACCGGACAGCGGTGACGGGAGCCTCGTGCTCCGTGAAGGTAACGAAGCAGAAGCCGCTTGTTGTTGACCACAGCTTCACCTGAACGACAACAAATAATCAGAACGAGCCGCAAGAGGTTGGTGAGCGTACCAACGGGACCCGAGGTGCCTTGGAAGCGAGTTGCGGGAAGCCCTTTCGTGCTTCAAGACGGAGGGGAGGCGAAGCAGAACGGTCGTCGAACGCAGCACCTCATCTTAGCAACTCAACAAGAGACTTTTTTTTTTTTTTTTTACTGGTTATGAAATCACTTTCTCGTGTGAAGTACAGTATGTTGATAACTTTAGGAAATACTTCTACACCATAAATGGGTGGTTGAGGTTACATTGGTTGTAACGGTCTTGGGAAAGAAGAATGGGCGACAATGGCCTTCCAATCAACAGCTTGGTCAGTGTGAACAGCGCAAGTGGCTGCCAGTACAAAAGCAATAGCGCACACTCAACAATTAACACATTCTCCGGCAGGGCAAATCGTTGCTGCCACTCCCCCCGAGACCCACACCGATCCACACTTACCAAGGTGGCTCCGAAGCGGCACAATTAGCACACATCAAGAGAAAACAACAACCTGAAGCGAAACCAACCAATCATGCACGCTGCACCCATCGCATCCCAAAAAGCACACTCGAGAAACAGAGTAAACGGTTCGTGCAACCAGAGAACAAGAGAAAATAATTTAGAGTGAAGTACTCGTTCAAGTAACAACAGAGCAACTATCATATCATACTCTGCTTTCTAGGTGAATGGACAAACCTTGCTATCGTCCCCCCCCGTGGCGCACACCGACCCCGTTGCCCCGAACGCGGCGCAATTGAGGCCGTACCCGTGCCCCTGCTGCTTGAGCACGTACGTCTCGCTCTGCCACTCCCACACCAGCAGCTGCACCACGCGAATGATGGCATCGCACGCGCGTGGGATGGGTCTCGTCGGTACGTGGGATGGGTCTCGTCGGTACGCCGTTGATGTTGATGTTGATGTTTTGATGTTGTTGTGGTTGTGGTTGATGTTGTTGATTTCGATGTCGTTGTTTCATTAAAATTCTTCTTACAACAACAACAAATAAACTCACCGCATGTATCTGTCTGCAGAAAAGAGTCCAGGCTAAATCAGTGAATAATTTATCTTCTTGTCGTCGTCATGTTCGTTTCGTAACGGTTGATCGGTGCATCCCTTCCACTGGAGTACTATCTCGAATGAGTAGTCTTCCCGTGGTTGCATGTGCTAATATCATACTCTCTGACAAAAAGCGAAGGATGGGAAAACCATCTCGCCTCAAGTTCAGCGTCACGGCCGATCGTACCACACCCCCACCTGCCCCAGCCTGGCGCAGCCGAACGCCAGCCAATCACCGGTGGTGCTGACGTCACAGGTTCCGATACCCGCCTGACCGACGCTGAGTGTGTGGATCGCCGTGCAGTCCGGCATCTCGTACAACCCGAACACGCCGCTAGAGAATCCGAGCACCAGTAAGCTCTGCAAGATCAAATACAGCAAGTGGGGGTCAAGGAGAGGATGGGGTGGGGGGTCGTCCAATGCTTGTACAAGCTACAAGCACAGAGCCCGGATCACTAGCAAGCTTCGCGCAAGAAAATAAAACAGGGGGGGGGCTGGGGTCAACGAGGATTGTAATCGGGGGAGCGGGGGAGGGAGGGAGGGGGTTCTAGCAGCCTGGTTGCACAGGTCACTCTTGACACAATTAGAAGAAGCAGACCTGAACATGACAAAAAAACTGGAGGGCGTGTAAGCTTTTCCGACGAGTCCTCGCCTTGGTGGTACATACTGCCCTTGGCCACACACCACACACCACACACGTTGCCTTCGGAGGAGGAACGAACGAACGCCGTTTTCCCACTCTCCAGGTAGAGACAAACCACCACAACTCTGCCGCATCTACGTTTTACGCAGAAAAATCTCATCCTGCGTGCTACCAATCCTACTCCGAGGGTAAGGGGCTGAAAAAGTAGTCGTAGTTGCTACACATGCGAATCTTGGCCAACTGCCACGCATTCAAATGCCGCCAATATAAATGCTATCACTCGCGGCCAAGGGCCACACTCTCAAGTGCTGCGTATTTCAATGCTCGCCCTCGTCACCAATAGTAAGTCACGCATTCAAATGCTCCACGCATGTACATGATTAGTCAAGCATTCAAATGACATGCCTGTATATGCTCACCCGCTTAGCGTGGAAGGACGCGCTGGTGATGTTGCAGCTGCCGCCGGGCCTAAGGAAGTGCTTTGACACCAGCCTCCACTTGCCGAACGCGGGAGTTCGCAGCTGCAGGAGGCATTCGCCAACAGAACGGGGTACATCGACAAATTCGTGAACAGGGGGAGAGGGGTTCTTTAAGGTTATTTTGGGTCGAAAAACGTTCGTGGCAGATCTGAGGACGTAAACGGCCTTGCCAGGATAGCGACGTAGATCATCATGCGGAAACACAGAGGTGTACTTTGTCAGGTTGATCAGTGTGTACATGACGGGCAGACCTACATCGGACGGAAATCGGAGACCTACATCGGACGGAAATCGGATGATGTAAATAGTAAATAGCTCTTGCCTGCCTGTCAGAACAGCCGGCTTGTGCCGATCTTACAATACTTCAGCCCCCCCCTCCCCCCCGGATTCCCACTACCGGAGAAGAAGCGGTGTTAACAGATCGCGAACCCCTCTTCGGTCGGTTAATGTATCGGCCGCAACACCGGCAGGCGCACAAGGGGCACCAACCACGCGAAAAAAAAAAAAAAACTTCGGCAGGATACAGCTCCGACGCTGCTTCGGGATGCTTTTCGGGCAACAATCACGAGGCGCGATGAAAAATGTCAGGGTTATCTTCACCTCCCCAAAATCAGGTCGTCGGTGCTGCTCCTCCTCCTCCTCCTGACTTTCCTGCCCAGAGCCTGCCCCCCCCTCACTACCACCATCATCGCTCTCCTCTTCCCCCCCGGATAGCGAAAAATCATCTCCCTCTCTCCTCCCCTCACTCCTTCTCTTCTTCGGCTCCGGCAACGGCGGCGGCAGCAAGGAGGGTTTTCTCTCTTCGTCTGGGACCCACTCCCACGCGAACACTCCCCCGTCCCTCGCCACCGTGTACACCTCGTCGCCGCTCTCGGACACGAAGCAGCCGCACAGCCCGTCACGATGCCCTGTTTGTTTGTTTTTTTTGCACCACGGGGAAAGTTGTTCGTTGCAAGGGGTCAGTGCGTCCGGTCCGGCAGGCGAGAGAAAAACTAAGGGGGGGGGAGGGGGGGACCCGGTGGAGGAAGGTGTGGGGTTCTTGTGTCTCGAGACTCCGTAGATTTGCGGAACGGGGGGGGGGTACGCAGATGCTGCGAACTGCTCGAAGGGTGAGATGCCCAGGGATCACGGGCCATAGATACGCTTGAAGTTTCTTTATCCGCTTGGACCTACTTCATGACCACGACAACAAGAGCAGCACGAACAGCAAGAGCAAGAGCACCAGCAAGAGCAAGAGCACCAGCAAGAGCAAGAGGGGCAGCAGCACCAACAGCGACCGCCACAGCAACAGCAACAGCGACCGCCATAGCAACAGCAACAGCAACAGCAACAGCAACAGCAACTCGTCTATCGGGCGGGGTCTTGTCACCTGCCAGGGTGGTCGGTACAAAGGCGGCGTCCTCCCCCGTATCGTTGACAAAGAACACCCGTGCCGTCGCGTCCTTCGATCCTGTACAAGGAGAAGGCCAAGGGTAAAAGACGGGCGAAAATCAAAACAAGGTGCGGAGAGAGACAAGACGGGCGCGGGGGGTGCATGGCATCATCGGAGAACACCTATCAAAGTCGAACTTCAAGCTAGTGGCTCCCGTGTGTAAGGCCGTGTGGTGCAAAAGGGTTTGGCCGGCCGTGTACCGAGCACCCAGCAGACACTACTCCAGAGTGCGAGACAACTGGAATTCTTCATCTATGTCACTCCATTGCACCAGCCTTTTACGGGGACAACTACAGCACTACTGTGCCTGGCAATTATGCACACACAATAGTCAGCTTAACTGAGCCATGCGTGCATCCTGCCGAACACGTCTCTCTCGCTTCCTCTCCCGGTGCCCCCTTAACGACCACAGCTCTTCTCGGCTTTGTGAAACAACCAAGGCTTGCCGTCAAAATTCGGCCATAGATATAAAAACGATAATAAAGTAGGCACCGCAACGAGGTAGCGAGAGCCACGAATCGGGGCGGAACAGGTAACATGCCCATTGCCCACAGCCACGTCACCCCCCATCCCCCCAACTTCATGCGACTCGCCGAATACCTCACGGCGCTTCGCGCCTGGTGATGTGAGAGCCTGGTCCGGTGAGAATCCGGCGTGCTCCGTCCCGGCTTTGTAGGGATGCGAGGTCAATGGTCTAACGACTACGGCATGCACGACTATGAGTACACCCCCCCCCTCCTAGGACACGTGGTCAATAGTGGTCAATGGGTTACCAACCAAGACATCCTAAACATGAGTACGCCCCTCCCCCCCTCCCCCCCCCCCAGGAGCCATGCAACACTCGACTCTGCTGTCAAACTACCTGCAACGAGGTGGCGAGAGTCCGGGCCCCACGCGAGACAGGTGACGTCGTCCTGCAGGCCGCCGTACCCGCGAAGCAGCGACAGCGGAGCGATCTGGTGCCGCCTCCCCGGAGTCCGCCACACCTCCACCTTCTTGCCGACACCGGCGGCGATGAAACGGTCGTCCGGACTGAAGCTGATGGCACGGATCTGAAAAAACACAGGCCAGGCCAGGAGTAAGGGCGGGATTCGAAGGGCGGCTGGTGGGGCGATAAAGCTGGGTGGGAGAGGTTGCCGTGGGAGTGCCTGTAGGTCGCTCTGGAACAGCTTGCTTTGTTCTTTGTCGCGCACTCGAGGCGTCAGTCAGCTCACCCGTTCGTGCGTGAAACGTTTCCGTGGAAAAAAACGAAAACGTAAGAAAAGCGGGTCAAGGCACAGGTGTGCGACCGATCGATCGATATACTAAAAGATTGGTCGCTCCGCAAACCCGAGATGTGGCCAATGCTGATCACGGGTACTCGATAGAAGGAGGACGTTTGTTTAATGCCAAGATAACACCAAAAACAACATTTCCCCGGACGTGTTTCCGCACAAGTTCCTTCCTGAGCAACCGAATCGTGAATAATATTAGGAAAAACAAATACACACACAGAAGACTACCCGTTCGAGATATACCCACAGTCGAACGGGATGTGGTGGTGAACAATAGTGTGCGTACCTTTTTCTTGAAGTTGAAGCGGTGCAAAACGACCCGCCGCTGCAGGTTGACTAGGAGCGCTCTCCCGTCCACGTCCAGCACAAGCAACAACCGGCCGTCTCGAGAAGGGGTAAGGAGGCGTATCTCCTTCCGGCTCTCGAACGGCAGCACGGACGAGCTGTGGTTCACCAGGTCTATCAACAGCTGGGCGGACAAAAGAACGAAAGCCACAACAAAGAACGCGAAACCGGCGGGGAAATAGACAGGGGGGGAGGCGAATTGAGGAGACACATGTAGCAGTGCACAAGTGTATACTCTTGAGTTATAGATGGCGTGAAGCAGTTGGAATGGATATGGTTGTTGGCTGCTTGGTGTTGCGTTGGTGTGATGGGGGTGAAAACGAAGTGGCCTACTTGCAGTATCTCTGCCTTTGTCGCCTGTGACATAGATAGCAAGCTGACGTATGGGTACATTAAATATCTACAGGAGGGAAGATTGGCTGTCCAAAAGAACAAGACTTATTTGCATGTACGCCAAAGAGTTCACGTCGGAAGGAACCATGCAGAAAACGACCTAAAACTGATAATGACCGTTCGGGTTCTTGAAGGGGGGCGCGGTTCGCCGTGTTCAGATTTCCAAGCGGAGACTGTCGCGCATTTTCTACAGAGCACACCAGCATATCTTGTAGGCGGGCGAGATAAGTTGAGATTTCTGGGGAGCGGCGGGGTCAAGCATGGATGCACTGGCGCCGAAAAGGAGTTGCATCATCAAGAAAGACAAAAGTATCACAACAAGTGGTCTCCTTACGGCTACCAAATGCAAGCAGTAGCAGAGGTCCGGGGGCGGGGGAGGGGTGTTATCCCACGTCACACCGACGATGAAAACCCAAATGGTTTTTGTACAGCAGTACCAGGGATGCCTGGAGTAGCTTACTGGGCGACGTTTTTCACCTCGCTTCGCAGACTCAACGGCGCGAACCACCCTCCGAAGTTTTATTATCACACGCTTCACTATCTGGAGGTACAGCAGTAGTGATCCCAACCCAGACAGGAGTCAAAACACGAAACGCTAACGCTCCTAACACGATCCCGCTGCATTGCCAAAAGTGAGCAGGTGTTAGGCAGCGTAGGGTTGTCGCACATCGCAGCTGTGTGCCGTTTACAACCTGACATACACTTACACGGGGTGCTCCTGCTCAGCCCTGTCCTGCTGCTACTCTCAGCCTGGCCTGCTTGCTCTTATCTCGCTGTCGGCGGGCCTCTTGAGGGATTTGAACTAATTGAATGGCCCCAGCGCCGGAGGGCCACAGCCGACGAGATCATGACATCGGCAGGCAGCCAGTGACACCATATCTTGCCATTTAATCTGTTGTTTTCTCTCGACACAACCAAGCACACTTGACCGAAGACTACGAGAAGGCGACACACCGACCCACAGCCACAGCGGCAATGTGGGTAACCGCACGACAATACCATGGTAGAGCTCTCTCACTCTCTCACTCACCACGCGGTTGCGCACAGGGGAGAGAACACAGGTGCCGTCTGGGGGGAGGAAGACCACATTGCCGTTGCCATACACCGAGCCCAGCAGCCGAGACAGACCGTAGCCGAACCTCATGACGACTAAGCTTCTACCAACAATGCGCTCGACAAGCAGCCCCGAAGCTACTACCGTGGACAGCTACAGCAGTCAGCAGTCAGCAGCGCAGCTGTCCAGAGTCACAGAGATAGAACCCAGAGGGGACTTCGCAGAGTATATCCGTAGGCCAATCGCATACCTGCGCTATTGGGGGGCATCGTACATCGACGAGACCGAGTCGAGAGGGCGCCTCTCGTGCCTCCGCTGCGCATGTGCCAGGCAGCAACGGGCCTGCAACGGCGAAAATAGGTGATGATGCATGTGTGTTGTTTGTTTGCTCATAATCTCGCAGCCCACGTCCCCACATACACTGCTGTGTGGTGTAGATTTCGTGAAACAACCATGGATATGCAGTCTCTCCTCGCGCACATGATTCTTACTCCTGCTGTCCATGATGTGTGTGTATTTGATGTGTGTGTGTGTGTGTTTTGTGTTTTTACTATTAGCATTGACCGCGCTAACCGGCTGTTTTTGTGTTTGTGTGTCCAAGGGTGGAGTGCTCATGAGTGTAGCTAGTTGTCGGCTTCAGCGTGCCGCACCCGGTGCAACAACGCTGCAACTACAAGCGACACAAGCACCCGTGCCTTGAAACCTGTGTGCAGGAATTTGCCTTTGTCGGCAAAATTGGACATTTGAAATGGTCTTGTAAGGATTTTGTGGTTTGCTCGCAACACGTGCGGCGAAGTGCTACTGTAAAAACAGACAGCAAAGGCTGCCTGTTTTGTTTTCACCACCTCGCCGCCCCGTTTCTGTGAAGCACTGCGTCTGCTTCAGTCAACTTTGCATGCTACTGCTCGTGTCATTTTGCTCACTGCTTCTCTGCCCTTGTCGGTCCGGTCTCTGAAGAGCAAGGCTGTCTCCATGGGAACACATGGACGGGTGCATCCGAGTCGACTCGATTGTGCGGCAATTGGGCTGGTGCTGGCGCACAACATACGTGACGGTTATGGTTTCTGGGGACCGGTAACAGGTGCGTTTAGATTTAGATTCCTCTCGCATCTCTCCCTCTCCCTCTCTCTCTCTCTCTCTCTCTCTCTCTCTCTCTCTCTCTCTCTCTCTCTCTCACTCGCGCTCTCTCTCTTATGCGGA